GTTCTATCTGCTCCCCATTTAAGGGAGGGCCTTGTTTCAACCATTGGTTTTGGACCAATGTGGCTTGTGCTTTTATATTCTCAGGGGTTACAACCATTCTAATGTTAGATATCTGTAGAGTTGGTCAAATTGATATTGGGGGTGTGCCAAAGAAATCAGCAATACGCCTCATCTGACTTGCCAACACTTTATAAGTTTGGTTTGTATAAGAAATCAATGGAAGGAAGATGGTCCCCGTTTGTTGGGTGAAAGTCTTTACCATTTCCAGATTACTCTCGTCCATCTGTTGCCTCATAGCCATCATAGAAATGGTATTTAATGATGGTGTATTCTGAGGGATATAATTTATCCCTGTTGGTCGTGCCAAATTATTGATGGTCGACATTGAGGCATTGTAAGGGTTTTGTAATGGCATTGTGTCCATTATGTTGTCACTAAAAGTTGACACAATTGGTTGCAAGACTGTCATCATAGACGTTGGCATTTCATAGGGATAATCTCTGCCAGGGGATGGTATTGAGAACCCAAAAAAAGGTCTCGCCAGCGCAGGATTGTTAAGGGAATTTCCTGGTTGTGGAGGGGGTGTATTCCCTTGGGACGGAATTGTTGCGACTGGTCTCGCTGATGCTGATTGAGTCGTCGTTCTAACTGGTGTAGAAAGAACTAGTTCTTTATTGGATGATACAACCGGTTGTTGCACCACATCTTATGGGTTATTCTGGGGATTATTATTGTCTTCAGGAGGATGCGACATACTGGATAACACCTTACCACTCCTTAAACGCATGCGAAAATTCCCAGAAAAAATTCTTAAGAGTATAACCCAATTTTCTAATGTAAGAAAAACAAAGGATAATATAAACAAAGTGCACTTAGCACAGGTGCCACTAGACGTGTCAATTTGTTTACCCTGAAAAATGGTAAACAACCACTGGTCTTTAAATATATGGCTTATTAGCAGGATTAACCAGTGAATCCTTAGGAGATAATGCTTAAGGACTTGTTCTTTGTTAATTTCATTGTGTCTTAAGATTATTGGCTTCGACTATTTCGAAGGGGATGTATGAGGATAATGTGATAGTGAGTATCTAAGCTTCTTGCAGAAAATGTAAAGTAAAAATAACAATGTTGAAAGCACTCAAATTAAAAAATAAAGGTTAGAAAAAAGATGAAAATGAGGAAAGAAATGTAATTGAATTAATTAGAAAACTTCGTATTGAATAAACATCATGTTTCATCTGCGCTTACATTCTCTCTGTCATTTGTTCGTTTCTCTTAACGTTGATACTTTGAGTTTCTTTGTGAAATTTTTAGTAATACAAATGAACACACCCTAATCCAATAAAATAAACTACTATATATAAAAGTCTAAAATAACTACTCTCTAACATTCCTTTCCCTTTGGTTCGCCACGTGCAGTTCTGCATGTAGTTTGCCTTTCGACTTTCTCCACGTGTCCTTTTGAGATAAGAATCCAAGCAGTTTGCAAGATTTGAACGTGACAAAATCGTGCTCAAACAACCGCTTCTTCGAGCAGTTTTACTACGACGCTACCTGCTTGGTCGAAGCAATTAGTGTCGAACTACTCACTTTCAACAACCAATAAAAATTCTCTAAGTACCTGAGCGCGGTCGAACCGCTGCTCTTCCAAGACTTTTCCCTTGTTTGCTGGTTTTTCCTCATTGGTTGAATATTCCATCTAACAGGTGCAAGATGCTCTAGGATCTCCACCGAGGCCAACTCATCAAGAAATACTAGAGGAGCGGTAGGTTAGGTTAGATCATGCTCATGATGTGTTGCCTAGATGTCGCCCAATTATGGAGATTTTGAAGACAGGTATTGATAGATGTATATTTCCTAATGGTTCTAAGATGAGTGAGGTTTTAGATGTCATTATCACGGAGGCACGGGAGGCACTGATGTACCGAAGACAGCATGGGAGCACAGGGGATAGAAGAGCCCGAGTAGCTCGAGTCTAGCATATGCAGTAGTTGATAGTATTTGTAGTTTGGATTTATGTTCGATTGTATTTTATTTTTGATTATTTTGACTTTATTGTATATTTCAACTTTATCGTGTATGTCATGATGACTTATTTTGACTTTGAATTTATACAAGTCATTTTTTGCATATCCATCACATAATAGGCGCCTTAACAATTATAAATCGTCATTTTCATTTGAGTAACCATAAAACTAACTTAACTTTCACTGTTTTGACTGGTTATGAAGATGTATCTCAGTAAACCCTAAACGGAGATGCATCTCCGGATCAATAAATGTTTAAAATGGATCTTTCAGAGAGTGATGCATGGGGTATGTTTTAAAATATTTCGAAGATACATCTTCGGCTCAATAAATGTTTAAAATGGATCTTTCAGAAAGTGATGCATAGGATATGTTTTGAAATATTTCGGAGATACATCTCTGAATTCGTGTTTATTAAATATGTTAGTGTGGCTCAGTAGAATGCACGAGATGTGTTTTAAAATATTTCAGAGATACATCTTCAAATTAATTATAACATTTTAACTAAACAATAATATATTAAAAAACATACCTCTAGAATCTGTGGAGCATTTTAAGTTTTTTATATGGTATTTTTTTTATCCTATAAGGTGGGATATGATCAATGACATTTGACTTCAACATATTTAGAAAGATTTTTGATACAGGAGATTATACGTCCATCGACAGCCAACTTCCATCGACAGCCACTATTTCTGAATTTGTCACCTTAAATCATGCATAAAAAAGTTTAGTTTTAGAAAAACACTAATAAAGATGCTTACAAATTTCTCACAAAGGAGTTCTCACATGATCACAATTTTAGTCGTAGGAAAACTCAAATAGCTTTTTTAAAAATATCACATCATCATAATACTTTTCTAAGATATATTCAAGTTTACTTTAGAGTTACTAGAGAATAAGAGAGGGTGGGAGGTTTTCCAAATATGTAATATCATCACAATTCTAGCCAAAAAAAATGTAAATAAAGGTGTCACATAATCACAATATTTGTCTAAGATAGATTCAAGCTTACTTAAAATTATTAGAGAAAGAGAGTGGAAAATTTTTCTTTGTAAAACCTACATAGATTACTTAAAAACTGATTTATAATTAAAAATTGATTTTTATTTTTAGTCAACTTTTTTTTATTAAGATTTTTTTTTAATTGAGTTGAACCACTAATACGGTTTGATTTATCTCAATTTGATTCATATACCACAAACAAATCTATTATCATCATATGTATCTTTGAATATTTTGACCGTACTCTAGTACTCTTGTGAAAGAAATAACAAAATTTCTTTCACAAAATTATGGTCAATTTTTGTCTATCTATCTCAAAAAATTTGATAAAATTATCCAAAGAGGAAATTGTATTGAAAATTTACAAAATTTAAATTATTAAATAAATAGTTAAATACAATAAAATGATATATCATTAGTTGATTGATTAAAAATACATTACTCAATTTTTTGAAATAAATAGATAAGTTGGTCCCAAGTTATTTTTTTACATAAGTTGACTTTTTACACCGATTAAAAAAAATATGAATGAAGGAGAAATAATGGTATTTTTATTAAAGTACTCATATAATGTATTGAGAATGATGAAAGTAATATTAATGAGAGGATAAAATAAAAAAAGATGCATTGAAAATTGAAATAAATCATACATTTTGAGACACTGTTTTATTTCAAATGAATCACTCGTTATAAATAGTAAAGAATACATTAAAAAAAAATGGATAAAGAGTAAGTGAGTATCAATGACGATTTTGTGTAGCATCAAATTGACGTAAACTGAAATCTTATCGTACGTAATAACTTTAGAAAGAGTGACATAACGAGTAACAGTTTTTGGAATCCTTCCTCTTTCTTTCGTAACTTGTCTCATTACAACTCTTTGTTTCCACACAACTCTTATTTTATGAGGAAAGCCTCATGCAAATTGCATTTGTCTACATATATCGACGTGGGGTTTCGTTTACATTGTTTGGACTCATTCCCCAAATCAGCTATAGGCAAGTTATACAAATTAAAAATAAATAAATAAAAGCATATTAGATGCCAACACAGAAAAAGTAGAAAATTTCTTTGTTTGGCACTATCTATCATAAACGCTAGCTAATCTAAAAATACAATTTTAATCCAAAAAAACTCGTGTATGCTATTCCTTAAAACTTAATCATATGTTTAAGGGAATACCTGTGGAAAAGTGGCCAAAAAACTAGGGGCTTGGGTGAGTACAAAATCTTTTTCCATGTCATGCCCCATTCCAAGATTATAGAGTGAAATATTCGGTCTAAGGAGGTTTACTAAAGGAAAGTATCAAGCCAGAGTGAAATATTTGGTCTAAACTATTCGTTTGAACTAACGTGATAATCATGTTTCAAACACTTGTATAATTATGCTTACTTACACGAGGATTCGACTTATCAATTAAGAATATTTTTATCTATTTCTCCACAAGAATATTTATTGGTATAGATGTTATCCAACGAATTAGATAGCGTGAATTTTTTAATCTTTTCATAAAAGCGTATTTAAGTTTTTTTTTTCCTTTTGATATAATAAATACAGGTGAGAAAACTCTCTTCAAAGAATTTTGGAAATTGTAGAGAAATGTGCCTGCGTTGACTAGAACTAGCTGGTAAAACCCAAAGAGGCTAATCAGAAGATGCAACTTGCAAGTATAAATATTCAATACTCTGCCATTAATAATAAACAATGTGACATAAGAGCATAGTCCAATTAGGCTTCCAGAGTAATGCTCAATAAATGTGCTAATTTCTACCTTGATGCTTAATACTCTAATTATCCTATTGTTCTATCTACCTAAAGAGATTATTCATGTCATCAAATACATGAATAAAGACTAATGTACAACAAATTGAAAATTATACTAATTTCAAAAGCGGCAAATTGTCTTTTGTGCCAATTTCAAGGATGGTCATTTGTCGTAAGCGGATGTTTAAAAAAAAATTTGTTGGCTCAATATTTTAACAAAATTGCAGACAATATCTCCCCCATTGTCTTCTCAGGCATGTCCCCTTCTTTGATATCTTCCATGGACTCTAGAACAGCAGCATCTAATCCTAGCTTTCTCTTTGCAATCTCATACACATTCTCATCAACCGTTCCCTTCGTCACCAGTCTAATGGAAAACAACATAAGAAAACAATCAGCCAGATTACTTAAAAAGAACAAATATAGAAGGTTTAGTATCCCCGCTATTCCTTCCAGAAAAATAAATTAAAAAATAAAAAAATAAAAGTAAAAAATAAAAAATAAAAAGAAAGAGAAAAATAGCAATAGTTAGTACTATTGTGGACGTTAATGGGAGAGAAAGGACAAATACCTATATATGGTTACAGGCTTTGTTTGACCAATTCGATGACAACGATCTTCTGCCTGTCTATCAATCTGTGGATTAAAATCCATGTCATGAATCACAACTGTATCAGCTCCAGTTAAGTTTAAGCCCTGTCCACCAGCTCTTGTGGAAAGCAAGCATGCAAAAATTGAAGTATCACTATTGAATGTGTCGACTATTGTTTGCCTCTCTGCTACCTGTGTGCTGGGAGTCCAATAGTAAATAGTAAGGAAAGCAGCATTCTGCTGAACAATACTTGAAACGTGCACATTTCAACCTGGTGCTAAGCAGACTGGATGATAAATTATTTGATTTTGAAAATCATGATAGACACCTCAATATAAAATTAGTTGAAACTATGAGTTTACCTTTTCAAATAATTTCATCTAAAAAAACCTAAAGGTGTGCATATTAGCTTTTCTACATTGCTATTTTTAATAAATAATGATCAGTTCCAGTTTAGTAAACCAATTATTTCATGAAGTAGATAGATAATGATCAGTTCCAGTTTAGTAAACCAGTTATTTCATGAAGTAGTAACTTCCAATTCCTACCTCTTGTTTACATTGTCATGTAGTCACTTACGAAGTTTGGAAGGATTAAGAGGAAGGAGAGTGAAACACATTGGTAGTTGTCGAAAATTTTGTCTTCATTGCAGTCCGTCTCTAGTCGCCTAATTGCGGCATTTGGCTTGCTTTCATTGCAGCCTCCAACACCATAGTGTTTTTGGTGTGAAGGGATGGATTTAGTCTCACGTTGCTTAAAGATATGGTTTGTGTTATTTTAACCTTACAAGTCAGTTTTGCAAGAATAAGTTAGACTCAACCCAAATTCTACTATGGTATTAGAGCCTATAGATCAGGCCACGGACCACCCACCCACCGTTTATAACCACACACTAGTGTTGGGCATGAGGTGTGTATTAGAAAAATCTCAAGGCCCCGCATTGGTTACATATAGAGCCTAGAAAGAGTTTACATAGAGATTGGCACCCCTCACCTTGCAAGTTGGTTATGTAGAGATGAGTTCGGTCAAACCCTAATTCTAATTCTATGATGACATCAGAGACTATCCTACTATCCTAGATTTATATTGGGCTTCCCGCACCGTCCACGCTTCGGCTCATAGAGGCCCATGCCTGACGGAGTGTTGAAAATTCCACCTTCATTGTGGTGTCTGCCCCTGGCCCGCCTAAATTGTGGCATTTGACTTGCCCTCGTTGCAGCCTCTAACACCTTTATTGTGTTGGATGTGAAAGGGGATTTAGTCTCACGTTTAGAGATATGGCATGTGTTGTTTTAATTAAGTGGGGCCAATCCTCAGAGTAGTAAACAATTTAAACATTCAACAAAAAAAATGACCTCCCTTTTAGTGTGGCATTGGGTTCAGGACTTTGATTCTGTAGTTCAGGGAATGCTGAGACAGATCGTATGTATGGTTTTGGAACTGAAAAATGTTGCCATCCAAAACCCATTCCCAAGCAGAACATTTTACAATCAATTATAGATCAGTGATCCAATAGGACAAGAATATTGTCAAGGTTGTCAAACTCATGATTTCATAACTCAACACACTAACAGTTGCAAAACAAATTCAAAATCAATGACAGATATAATAAGTGTTTCGTCCTAATGGGAAAGCTAAGAAAAAATACACCAAACCATACTCCATATTGGAATTTTGATAACATTGGTTACTTAAGAGTGAAAGGTGATACGACTAGGCTCCCATCCCATCGCTGGAGCTGGATTGAGCTGGGTTTTGGCTCATCAAAGTTGGGTTCATTCTATTAGGGATAAAGGTTGGACCTCCCATGTAATGAGCCAAGGCCCAATTCTCTTCCCTAATTCATAACTGAATTCTGTTATGAGTTGGTGGTTACTACCTATGAAGCAGTGACACCCTGAATACGCCCCTGACACTGACACGGCGACACCGGTAATAATTTGAAAATTTGAATAAACTAAAAGTAATCACATGTGGCAGTGTAGGTGTCCGATACCGACATGGACATGCATTTTTCAGAGGTGTCGGTGCTACATAGGTTAACTACAACCAACTATATATACTTAGATTGTAACTGAAATCATCAATGAGTCATTCTTTCAGTTTCTCTCTCCCCCTCACCCTCTCCCTTTCTCCCTCTGAAATCCTGCATATGTAGCTTGGGAAGAACCAGATTCTCTCCTATGTACGTGGTGGTTATACTCAGTTTCAGACTCTCTTCTATCTCGCTTCATTCTTCTTTGTCACTCATGGCAAGTGCGGGAGGAAATTCATCTGTACTGCCATACACAGGTGAAAACCCAATCTAGACAATTCAGATCTGAGTTGCGATCCCTAACGAAAGGTAACATTACTGAGTTCCTCACACACTCGCGCCGTTGTTGACACTCTCGTGTCAATTGGAGATCCAGTTTTACATAGAGATTAAGTTGAGCTTATTCTTGAAGCTCTTCCCACCGAGTGATTTTGTAGCTGCTGTTAACGATAGGTCAGAGTTCGTCTCTCGATGAATTAGAATCACTGCATCTCACTCAAGAACCTTACATTGAAAAGTTCAAGAGAGACACTATAGACATTGTCACTGCTAACCTAACTCAAGGTATCTCACAACCTTCAATCCACAGGATAATTTTCCTAATTATAACACCTCCAATCAATACAATCTGAGTGTAAAACTATATTTTACAATGACAGTGCAGGTCTTATTCACTCATGTTCTTATATATGATTTAATTGTGTCCGAGTTCAGCCGTGGATTATATCAGCCTACATAAAATGTTCCATAAATATTAAGTGTGAAGAAAGCTTTAATGTCATAAATGGCATTACCTTCCATCAAGCCGTTTGTAGGTCAACCCAATAACATCCAAAGCCCACTCCAATACATCAAGCATTGATGTCCATTGACTAAAGATCAAGACACGATGACCACTCTTCTTTAGTGATGGAAGAAGCTCTGCTAGAGCCTACATTATCCAGAGTAGCTCAAATCTCAGCATGCCATGCAAATAATCATGCCAAAAACAGCATTGTTGACAATAACAAAAATTGAGCCACAAAATTCATACCCGACATTTTGCAGAAAGCATAACGTACTTATCTGAAAGAACCCCCTTTCTATCATTGATACGATAATGAAGTAAAAGCTGCAAATTTTAAAAAAAAAAAGTGCACCTTCAAATTCAAGCCAACAATATGCTATCAACAAGTTAGATTAATTATATTATAATGCCTGAAAGCTTGTATTTATTAGAGTTCTACATTTTTGAAAGCTTGATTTCTATTTGCTATATTATGCAAATACACCTAGGGATGTGTAACAGAAAAGGTAACATGTCAACAAAAAAAAAAACCAATGAGGGAGTTAAATACTGATGAGATGGTTGCCAGCTACATACATAGCAAATAGAAGCTAGAAATCAAAAATATAATACACTTAGTGGCAGCCATAGAATTAAAAAATTGGTCAGTTTGTACAACTCAGTTGTTCCTAATAGTGACTGTTTCTAAAATTTATGTAGCTAATGTTAGCTTAGCCTTAGTCTCAGAAATGTTGTATGGCAGTATTTACTGATATAACAGACCATGTTAGTTAGTTAGTTACACTTGGTAAAAATACTATATCTTTGTATCAGAATCATTGTGACAATAATACAAATCCTTTTTAATCTGACCCACTCACACACTCATTATTTTGAAACTTGGAGAAAACTAAGATGGTTTAGATCCCTAGACCATAATGGTCTTTCCCAAAAATCACCATCCACAATTGCCAGCAGGATCGCCATTAACTCCTCCATTCTAAATTTCTACAATATCCAGCAGCCAGAGATGGATCATGCCTCTATTACAGTTCCAGGTTCAGCTCAAGTAAATTCTCACACCAAGTTGAGCCTGTCGTCAAGACCAAGGCTCATCAAAGACTCCATCATTCCAATATTGTACTGAGAACTCGTCAATAGCTTTTGTAATAATTGGATTGAGACTCGAATCACATCAACCCTTCAAATCATGCTTGGGAACATTGATGTTCCATAATTTGGCTATCAGAGTTATTAATAGAGGATAGCGGAGAGGAGCGGCCGACCCCAAAAATGGAATAGTGGGGTAGCTGATAGCGGGATAAGTTTTGTTGACTTTTTAAAATTAACTATTTTTTGACTAAATATATAAATAATCTATACAAATAAATTATTTTGGATGAACAATAAAAAAGAATATTAAATTTGCAACACAAGTTTTATAAAAATCAAATTAATAAGATAAAAATGGATTAAACATTTAATTATTTGTTCTGATATATTTTTTATTTTTTTTATTATTAAATGTTATTATTTTTATTAAGTTTTATTAACATATTATAAACTAACAGGCTAAAATGTCTTTTTCTTAAGATACCCAAACATAAAGAGAAACACTCAGTTATGTACTCTAGGGCCCATTTCAGTTATGTACTCTGGGCCCATTTCAGTTATGTACTCTAGGGCCCATTTCAGTTATGTACTGTCAAAAATGCCTTTTAACCCGGTCCAAAAATGGGATGGCAGAATAGTGGATAGCGGGATAAGTTTTGTTGACTTTTAGAAGTGATTCTTTTTTGGACTAAATATATAAATAATCTATACAAATAAATTATTTTGGGTGAACAATTAAAAAGAATATTAAAAATTAGCAACAGAAAAGGTTTATAAAAATAAAATTAATAAAATAAAAATGGATTAAACACTTAATTATTTGTTCTGATATAATTATTATCATTTTTATTATTAAATGTTATTATTTTTATTAAGTTTTGTTAAAATATATAAATTAAGGGGCTAATATGCCTCTTTTTAATAATTAAGATACCCAAACATAAAGAGAAACACTCAGATATGTCCTCTAGGGCCCATTTCAGTTATGTACTGTTAAAAGCTTTTTAACCCTGTCCATTTGGTTACACCTCAAATAAAACCCTAACCACTGTTGCCTTTCTTCTCCATCTGCAAAATATCGCATCTGCCCAGAGAAACACAGCCGGAGAGAAGAAAAATAAACAATAGCCGTCTGAAATCGCTCCGCCCAGGGGAGCGCAGCACTACCCGAACCGCTTTCTCGCCGGAATCGGTCGCTCTCTCAGACTGCATTTCGCTCCCATGTTTGCGCGCGAATGGGGGCCTCCCCGGCAGGACAGCCCGGGATCGCGGCTGCAATTAATAACTATGAATAAAACCCTAACCACTATTACCTTTCTTCTCCATCTGCAAAACAACCGCATCTGCAAAACAACCTGAGAACCAGAGAAACACAGCCGGAGAGAAGGAGAAAAACACAACCCACGACCCGCGATCTCGCCGATATCGGCTGCGATTTCAGACGACCAACCGCTCCTCTGTTCTCCCGCGGTGGGTGGCCGCTCGGGCCGGACCGCCCTGAATCGCGCCGTGAGCGGCCGCAATCGATAACTCTGTTGGCTATATGAATTTGTAGCAGTGCTTTAAGAAGCAACGAGGGGAAACCATCAGAAGGATATTATTAAGTGGCATTCCTTCTCCTTTTCATTCACTCTCATTACTAACATGTAGTGTGTGCTCTTGTTGTTTAATTTTGACCACTGGAAACAAATTTTGTTTACCAGACTTCAAACATCACAGAGGTAAAATGGTCATTAGCGCCGCTTCAATTAATATAAGAAAAGGATAAATTATTCTTATAATAGAATATTTTATTGTTATAATTTTGAAACTAGCAAATAGCCATAATATGTTGAATAATTGCAGACTCATCTGACCCCGTAAAACTCGAGTCACAATCAGATTTTGCATCGAGTAAAATGGGGTTGAACTGGCAGGAAAACCAGGAATGAAGGAATGGTTCGCAGAGATTTTGCAGAGTACTATTTGTATACAGAAAAACTAACCCTGAAGTGTTTCAAAAGCAGTAAGATGGAAATTTCAAAATTTTAAAAAAGCCGGTTCCATAATAACTGGAGGGGCAATATAAAAATTTCCCCATTGGTGTAATCGTTTGAGTAGTGAAATATATATTGGTGTAATAGTTTGAGTAGTGGAATATATATCGAGTCCAACTCATCACGGGACCTCGCTATGGAGGGAGCTGTATAGCACCTAATTGCCCTTTCTAAAGCTGGTTCCATAATAAAAGGAGAGGCAATAAAAAAATTTCCCCATTGGTGTAGTAGTTTGAGTGGTGGAATCCATTACGAGTCCAACTCATCCCTGGACCTCGCTATGGAGGGAGCTCTATAGCACCTGATTGCCTTTTCTTAAAAAAGCTGGTTCCATAACAAAAGGAGAGGGGTAATATAGAAGTCCCCCCATTGGTGTAGCAGTTCGCGTGGTGGAATCCATAACGAGTCCAACTCCTCCCTGGGCCTCGCTATGGAGGGAGCTCTACAGCACCTGATTGGCCTTAGTTGGTGTAGCTAGCAACAGCTGACAGCTATGAATTGAGCCAACATCTCGTGCTATTGACAAGTAGGGTTAAATAAACCTGGAACTTCATTGCAACAGACAACTTTAAATAGAGAAAGAAAAAAAATATCTAACGAACTATTTGAACTTATTGGTGAAAGGCATACGAGGGAAAGTCATAGATAAATTGCATTCTCCGAGTAGAAGATTACCCGGTGAATGGAGAAGTCATTGTAACTTTTAAGCTCCTCTATAACTCTGTCCATAGTACATTCAAAGCCAAAAGCACCCAATGGATGTAGCTTCCCAGCAAAGCGAACTACATCCTCATCAGTATAAATTCGCCTTATCAACAAGGGATGGTTGGCAATCTGGAATATGCATGAACAAGATATTAAACAAATGAAATAGAGCTATATGAATCTAAAAAGGAAAGATAGATAGATTTTAAGTAAAAATAATATGTACAGAAGCAAGAACCTTGCGAAACTGAACAAAATAATTATTTATTTGTCGTCGAGGAAGAAGTTCAAGAACATTTTTTGAGTTCAGATCAGAACATTTTGTTAACCGAGCTTGTGAAACAGTACGATACTCCTCAATGGCTTCCCTATATGCATGTTCCTGTTGCTTTACCATCATGACATATTCAACCTACAGTAACAGAGAGGCTTAAAAAATACTACATCGAGTCCCAAATACAAGGAAAAAAAAAAACAAAAACACATCAAAACCAATGAACTCATTTCTTGCAGTAACTTTCTTAGTAATTTCCAATTATACCCTTGTGGAAAATTAAGACATTAAATACACTCCCTTATATTAAAAAGAATATTTTAAATAAGGGTAAAGTCACTTAAGTAATAAATACACCTAAATAGTTATAACTTTCCATGAATGAGATCAAAAAATCATCATAAGTCCTCTTATAATTAGAACTGGAGAGAATATATAACAAGCTTATTAATATGTTGAAGATGAAGAGCACATCGACTCAACGAAATCATTACTAAAAGGTAGCAACAAACATACCTTCTGTGTTTTTTGAACAAGTTGCTGCATTACATCAGATTTCAGACGCCGCAAAATAAATGGCCCTAAGATAGACTTCATACGACTTATTAAATCTGTATCTTCAGCACTTAGTAACTTTTTTAAATCAACATCTTCAGAAGCAAAAATATCAGGCATCATAAACTCCAACATAGACCATAACTCCTGCAACAAATTCATGACAAGGCTTACTTCAGGAAATACATGTATATTAATACCAGCAAAACTAACAGATATAACGGACAGATTTTGCTCAAAATGTAAATACATTATTGGCACAGAATAGAAAAGAAGAGGTGTTTCTTCCTTTTGTTTTCCCTGGCAACAACTGTTTCTGCAAAAGCCTATCAGAAACATCCAAAGTTGTTTCTATCAAGTTGTGTGTATTACCATACAGTTCAAAAGGAACTGTTGTGTGAAAAACCAGAAGTTTTCATCATTTAAAAAAATACATCAACATTGAGATATACAATCTACAACCTAAAGTAATAATCAACAAGCACACAACAGTTTTGTTTTTAATATATTCATGTAAAACTTTCTAATTTCATTAATATATAATGCTAATAAAGAAATCTGTTATGCAAGCAATAGTGCCAGGTGTACAGGTAGAAAATAATGTCAATGATAAACGGAACAAAGTTATAAGCTATTTTTCTGTTCCAAAACCGAAATAGCACCCAATGGTCAATACAAAAAATAAAAAGCAAAATCAACTCCTTGTAAGAAACTTCTCAATAGACTAAAAGGTCCTGTAATCACTAATCATTGGATACGAGGGGCAAATGAAATAGAGGAGTCCCGTGTGAATCAGTGGATACAAGTTAAGGGAACTGAATACCCTCCTACCTAATGGTGATAAGATCGTGATTTACCTGTGGGGATATCCTGTGATTCAAACACCCGAAGCAGATAGGACTGGGTGGCTAAAGATTGCAGCAAAATCGCAAAAATCGCCATCAACTACTGGGATCAGGAGTTCGTCGCAAATGGGATTTTGAACTTGGTTGGGTTTTTGCAGAAAATTGTAGTCTGCTGCTACTGCCACGCAGCCTCGTCCCTCCACCGGCAAATGCAGTGTGGCCTCCTTTTCTCTCTTCCGTTTATTTGTTCTTGCGCCACCACCCATGGTTGTTAAGCATGTGTTCTAGATGTGAGATTGCGCAATCACACGAGTTTTTCTCCCTCAACCATGCCGGAGCAGTGCAAAACTCATGGAGAGGCCAGAGCTGTGAAAGCGCAGAGGAAGATAGTGAGTTCGTGGGATCAGTGCCGCTTTGCATATTTTCAGCATGGCTTTGCCCATTTGACCCAATTGACCCACTTCTAACCAAGAATGTGCACCTATTCAACCCGGTTTCCCACCTTTTTGACTTAGAACTTTACCTGTTTTTTTAATAAATTAGAAAGGGTACACTGACCATATATTCTTTTGAGACTAAGTGGGTTATAATCGATCCATGTAGCCAATTCCACTTGGGAATTTTTCATCCTTTTAACGGTTTGAACTGTTCAAGGTATTCCCTTCCATTTCTTCTACAAATTCTTCTGATCTCTCATCTTCGCAACTATATCCCATCATCTTCTTATCTTTGAAAAATTGTTCTGGTTGTTTGACTCCTCTTCAACTAATCAACTCTCTTTACCACAGAATCTAGAGGACCTCTCACTACATTGCCCAAACCACCTAAGTCTATTTTACACCATCTTTTCTTCTATAGGTGTGTTATCTCAACACTCTCTAATGTTGTCATTTCTAATCTTATCTTGTCTAGTCTTACCACACATCCAAGGCAACATCATCATCTCTGTTACACTTACTTTAACTGCCCAACATTCTATCCCTTACAACATTGCAGGTCTTACCACAGTGCAATAAAAATTTTCCTTCGGCTTGAATAGTACCTTTGTGTCACATAAAACCCCTGTAGCCATCCTCCATTTCAGCCACCTAGCTTGAATTCAATAGCTTCCACATTCCACCCCAAAAAAGCCTTTGGATCTAGAGAACATGGAAGACAAGTGGAGAAGCAAAATCAGCGAGAAGAGTGTGGCCATCCTAATAAGAATGTTCAAAACATGCTGAAAGAAACCCTACAAGAGGCAGATGCCCAAACAAGAAAGGCAGAGACAAAACTTCCTAAATTTGCAAGAGAGAAAATCAACAAGTGCGATATGTGAATTGTAAAAACCAACTCCCAGACAAAAACCTGGAAAAAAACCATCCTCTCTCAAAATCACTCAAAGACAAAATGTATAACGCTCCATCTCTATTATCAAAAAATTTTTTCACCCACAAAGACAAAACGTATAACGCTCCATCTCTATTATCAAAATGTTTTTTCACCCACAACTTTTGTTCCGCTTAGTCCCATCCTCCTATTGCTTCCAACATAAAGTAATATAATGGAACAAGTTGAGCAAGTGTGGGAAAGGAAATATGGTAGGCTATGGAGGAAGTAAGTCTGAAGTTGAGAGGATCCTATTGTAATTTCTCTGCATCCTAACAAACAGGACACACTGCAGCAGGGGGAGGCCAAGGAATTAGATACAAGAATCTGCAGAAGTGAAGTGAATATGATGATGCAAGGGATAGGAGTGGGGAGGGCAAGGAATCATTTGGGTGAATGTTGAGCAAGTTGAGCAAGTGGGGGAAAGGAAATATGGTAGGCTACGGAGGAAGTAAGTCTGAAGTTGAGAGGATCCTTTTGTAATTTCTCTGTATCCTAACAAACAGGACACACTGCAGCAGGGGGAGGCCAAGGAATGAGATGCAAGAATCTGCAGAAGTGAAGTGAATATGATGCAAGGGATAGGGGTGGGAAGGGCAAGGAATCATTTGGGTGAATGTCGAGTGGCTGGCTACTACCACAGGGAAGAGGAGTCCGGCTTCTATGAATTTCTTACATTCCACTTCCATATTTTCTTATTTCTTTTCTACTGTGGTGAAAAGCTCACTTGAACTTTGAATGTATTTATATGTTAAATTCCAGTTCCTAACATAAATTTTTAGCATCAGTCTCTATGGTGATATTTTAACGACTTGAGAATTGGAGTGAAACAAGAATACATCCAATTAAAAAAAGGAAATATCAAACAATTCTGAAGATTGATATGTCAGCTAATAGTCACAGTGTGACTGTGTGATGTGAGAGAGATTTAAGATATAGAAGAGTAGAAGATTAGTAGCTGTATCAGGCATCAGCAGTGAATTGAGATTGCAAAATATGCTTTTAGCACATAACATTATAATATTATTCAGCCAAAACATAGTATTTTGTAAGAGAATAAGTTACTCCGGTAATTTGTTCAGTAACTTGAAACAGTTGATGAAAAAAGTCACGCTGCAGCAATAACATTTACTACATATGTTATACATACATGTAGGTCATTTTGAAGAGGTGTCCCTGTCAGCATCAAGCGTTGGTTTGCATTTCGAGCAACAGACATCAGATTTTTCCACCTAAAGCTATTTTTGTCCTTTAAAGCATGTGCCTCATCCATCAGTACACAGCTCCACTTCCAACGCTTCAAGATTTTACGATCATCCTTCTGCTGTGGACTAGAGCAAATATATATTTTTAAACTATAATTAATGTATGAAAAAAGTAATGGAAGTAGCAAAAAGTGTAGAGGAAAGAACCTGTGCCGTTCAAAAAGTGAATAACACACAAGAAGAACATTAAATGGGGGAGGCAATCCTGCCTTGGATAAGGAGTTTAACTCCTTGCAGTATGCTGTGCGTGCAGCCCCATGATATTGAAGAACAGAAATGGATGGGCACCACCTCTTTAGTTCCCTTTCCCAGTTTTCCAAAACAGAAGCAGGACAAACTATAAGATGTGGACCAGAATCATTGTGCAAGTGATTCAACAAAGTCAAATATGTGATTGCCTGAAGACAAGAACATGTGACAAATCTTACATCTAAAAAGTCAAGGTTAACAAACAAAATTATAGAAATGAAAGAAGAATAACATACCTGAACCGTTTTGCCAAGCCCCATTTCATCTGCCAATATGGCTGTGTGACACATGAAAACAAAAGTTAATCACAAGATTCATAACAACCATACTAACCTCTAATTCTATAGCACAGAACCACAAACAAAGTTATAAGCAAATCAGTGGCACTTTACACACAATAATGTTCCAATGAACACAAAATCAAAAGCTGCAAGCATCAAACACACAGCAAGCATGTCATTCCACAACAATGAATACAGTGATGCATCATCATCACATGAAACAGTCACAATTGTGTATTCTTTTTTAAAGAACACAAAAACAAATAAGCAAAACAGAAAACATCCTTCCACAAAACTTCTTCATCATATCATAACCAAAAACCCTATCAATTACCTCCAGCAATACCCTTCCGATACAGCAAAAGCAAGAAATTGACACCAACCAGTTGATACGGCTTTAACAGAGGTTGAAAATCCGAATCCTCAGACCCACACGCAACATCAATATCATCCTAGCAAAATCACACAAACACTTCAAAACCTCAAACTAAACCGCTAAAAGTAGAAACAAAAGCAATCGCCATTTTCTTACAAAAAACACACCTGAGTAACAATTCTGACTGAACAAGTTTCCACCTCCGAATATCTATCACAAGCAACGCCAGAAGAACCAAACAGCTCACCTTTCAACTCAACCGAAATTCTAGCACACTTTTGCAAAGCCCTACCAACCAAATCATCTTCGTTTTCCTCTTCAATCTCATCCTCCGTCGAATCAATCTCAAACAAATCAACAGCATCTCCATTCCCATCCCCTCCGCCAAACTCATCCTCATCATCATCGATTATAAACCTCCGCCGAGTCGTCGACGTCGCCGCAGGAGCTGCTTTACTGTCATCAACATCAGCGTCCTCCAAATCATCGAGGCATTCAGTGGTATTAGCGGTGTTTGGATTGATTTCGACGCAATCGTCTTCGTCGGATGAGGAAAGGGTTTGAGAAGGAGGTTTATAAGCGAAGGAGTCGAGAGGCGGCGGTGGAGAGCGAGGTCGTTTGAGGACGCGAGAGGGTTTGAAAGAGTGATTCTCCCATTCGTCGTCGGAGATTTCGTAGAGTTCGGGTTTCATTGTGTGCCCTAGAAATTGTGGTGACGATGTTGAAGTTGAAATTCAGAAAGGCGGGGTCAGAGTCGGAGAGAGAAACGAAAGGAAAAAAGGAAAGTGTGTGTAATAAAAGTGACGAGCGCGGGGAACGTATCGGTATCAAGAGGCGCATACGTGTTATAATACTTACTTGGTCGTCATTAACAATCGATGCTTTTGCAAAAATGTCAATTTTATGAACAAAATTATTCAAATATGGTATTTTTATTAATGGTATTAAATGAGTGGTTATGAATTATTTTATTCAACTACTTTCTTACCAGGAAATATTAAAATTGTTTTTACATTTTTTTTAATAAAGTTTGTCTTCTTTTGAGGGGGGACAAGAGTCTCATTCTAGGGTAATTGATATATCACTAGATTAAAGTTTAACTAAAAATAGTAAAGTTTAAAATCTCAAACATCTATTATAATATGGTAATTTTTAATGCGCATTAAAATATAAATGATATTTTTTATAAAATTATTTTTTTTTAAATATAATATATGAAAGTTAATAATAAAAAATTATGTGAAAGTTATTAATAATAAGTTATGTGGAAGCTAATAATAGGAAGTTATTAAGTAAATTACACAATAGAGTAAAGGTAAAAATGGTAGAAATATAGGTCACACCAAAACAAAGTATTTCCTTTATATATTGTATAGAATATATTGTATATATAATACCTTTTAAATTTCATCTTTACATTTCAAAAGATAAAACTACACAGTATTAGAGATCACGAGTTCAACTCTAACAAATACAAAAATATATTAACTGATAATTACTTTTAAACTTTATATTATTTTCACTTCAATATAAAATGTATAATAGAATATACACATTTATTACTTATTATAATATATTAAATGAAAATCACACACTATGATGATCCTTCAATATAATTGTACTACATCATCATTATTCTTATGTGACACCTTTCAAATTTCATCTTTATTTCTTAAAAGACACAATCACATAGTGTTAGATGTAACGCCCCGATTCTGATTTCTCATTTTTGTTGAGTCTTTTTTATTTAATTGGTTGATTATTATTTTTAATTGTGGAATTATGTGTTAATATGTTATGTTTGCATATTATGCTATTTTACCGATTTTGAGAGTTTTCGGGAAAAATAAATTGAAGGGTATTTTAGATATTTAGTATTTAATGTTAAGTTGGACATTTGGTGAGAAAATGGATTAATAGATATAATAGAGAGAATAGAATAGAAAGAGATATAAGTGGGAAATTGGAGAGGAAAGAAATAGAAAGAAGAAAAGGAAGAGAAAGAAAGAGGAAGAGGAGAAAAAGAGGAAAACTTGGAAAATCATCAAGAACAACATCTAGGATTCGATTTAATCGGGTAAGGGTGTGAAATCTTATTATTTTCTCAATGTGTATGATTATGTATGTGTTTGTTGGATTGTTTTGGGTTGTTGGAGAGTTTTTACTCATTTTCCCTTTTAGGACAGAAGTTGGTTTAATCGGTAGAATCGAAGTTTTAACGGTTAAAATCTGGAATTAATGGTGTAGTTTAGTCGAGGAATGTTAGGCTAAGACTACTGGAACTGGTTGGGATTGAATCGGTTGATTTTGTGATGATTTGGTGATCTTGAACAGTTTGGGGTTCTGAGTTCGCAGATTCGCTAGCGTTCGCCAGGCGAGCAGAAGCGAAGGTTCGTCAGGCGAAGCCCAGCGAGTGGGTAGCGAACAATTACAGTAGCCAAGATCAGCCTTCGCTGGCGTGTTCGCCAGGCGAAGGAGGTGGCGAGAGGGTTCGCCAGGCGAAACCCAGCGAATACTTCCAGTAGCTACTGCCTGTCTTCGCCAGCGAGTTCGCCAGGCGAGTGAAGCAGCGAGCATTCGCTAAATGCTTCGCCAGGCGAAGGTCAGCGAGTGTGACAACATTTTTCATTTATTGTGTTTTCCATCCAATGTTGATTGTTTGGTTCGATTGTGTTTAATCCTTATCTGAAATGTATAGTTTGTGTATTATTGTGATAAGATGTGTTGTGGGTAGCCGTATGGCGTGAATCCTAGATTGTGAATTGTGAAGTGTGAAATATGGTTGTTTGGCAATTATGTGCATTGTTTGAATTGAATGAAAATGTGTGATTATGTGATAAGAGTTCGTAGTCGTGTGGGTGGTAAAGCGATGTTTATTGTCGTTTGGCATGATTGATATGAATGTACATAGATTGTATGTGCTAGTATGAGATGAATGCATGATTATATATTTGTGAATATGTATGTATTTCAAGAAGTGTATGGAGTCGTTTTGCATGTGAAGTATCATGATATACATTCTTGTGCTGATTGATTCCTCGGTGAATCTGTTGAACAATTGTGTGCCCTTGTGGGGTGTGAGCAATCCTTAAACATTGTGTGCCCATGTGGGGTGTGAGCAATGGGTAAATTGATTCCGCGTAGAATCTGTTGAACGATTGTGTGCCCATGTGGGGTGTGAGCAATCGGATTGTGTGCCCGTGTGGGGTGTGAGCAATCCTGAAACATCGTGTACCCATGTGGGGTGTGAGCGATGGGTGAACATCGTAAGCCCGACGGGGAGTTACTTCGGTAACGAGCGATGGTTCCATTTGGTTTTTCAATTGAACCTGCTAAATGAGTCGGTACCGCATGTGCATCTGCATAGAGTCGTGAGTCGATCTCTATGAGTTACATTTATCATTATGAATTGTGTATTGGTGAATAAACATAATTGTAAATGTTTATGTGAAAATGATGTGAATTGTAGAAGCATGATTGATGAATATGCTTAGTTATGAAAATATGCATTGCGATGTATATGAATGAATGGTGAATATATGCATGATGAATATGCTTGGTGAATTATATATATGTTGCGATATGTAACTGCCCGACTTTTCATTAATTAATTATTTGCATTAATTAATAGGTTAATGAGAATTATTTAATTGATGGGTAATTAATTAAATGAATTAATAGATGTTGGAGAGAATTAGAAGAGAAAGACATATTAAAAAGGAGAGTGGAAAGAAAAGGGAAAGATAGAAACACAAAGGAAAGAATAGAGAAAGAAGGAGAAAGAGGAGAAAAGAGAATAAGAAGAGGGAAGAACTTGGAATCATCAAGAACAACTCTCAAGCTTTGGATTAATCAAGGTAAGGGTGTGAAATGTCATTATCTTAACAATGTATATGAATATGTATGCTTGGGTTAGAGTATTGGATGTTTTTCTACAACTTCCATTTTTAGGACATAAATGGATTAATCGGTAGAATCTGAGTTTTCACGGTGGAAAATGAGAATAAGTGATAGTATTTAGTCGGGGGATGTTAGACTAAGGTTACGAAACTTGTTCGGTGAGAATCAGTTGGTTTTAAGAGTTTGGTGGAAGTTGGACAGTGAGAAATTCTGAATTCGCAGACATTCGCTAGCGTGTTCGCTGAGCGAGCTGGTAGCGAACGTTCGCTAAGCGAGCTAGTAGCGAACGGTCCCAGACTTGGACAGAATGCATTTTGTGGTGTTCGCTGGTAGCGAAGGGGGTAGCGAAGGTTCGCTAGGCCTTCGCTGAGCGAGCGAGGTAGCGAACGAAGTCAGTAGCTTCTGTTTGCCTTCGCGAGCTTGTTCGCTGGGCGAACAAGTAGCGAATACTCGCTAAGCGAATAGGGTAGCGAACGTGACAGATTGTGTTTTCTTTAATGTTTCCATCCGAGGTCGGATTTCCGACTCAATTATGATTATTTTCCTTTGCTCGAGGCATCGATTATGCCGAGATGTATTATACTGTGGGTAGCCTTATGGCGTGAATCCTAGATTGTTGAATTAACTGAATTATGGTCTTTTGACAAATGTTATACATTGTTTAATGTGATTAAAAATGTATTGAGAATGCATGAGAACATATTGTGTGTATGTGTGCATTGCTTTAAAATATATTGATGATATATGTGAATATGCTGTGTGTGCAATCGTTGTTATAATTCTTGAAGAGATGAATTATTTGAATGCATGAGATTAAGATGTCGGTCTTAAGTGCATTTGATTGTTAATTGCATATGCATCATTTAGTCAAGAGGCAATGCTTGCTAGTTTCGTGGAGACTAGTGACTTGTCCCAAGCCTAGAAGAGTGGGTTTGAAAGCTTAGAGGACGGGCTTTTGGTGGTTATCGGTCTAGAAGAGTGGACCCGATTTAATGTAAACCGAAAAAAGATAACAAGTGTTGGTACCACATGGCATGAGTTTGCATTGAGTTGTATTTAGTCACATCGCATGAATGTCATTGTTGTATGAAATATGCTTGTGTGTGGAAATCGTGGGCTATGTGTTGCACCCCAAAATTTGACCAACAATTATTTACCTATCAAGTGTTTGAAAGTTGATACCTTCATCAGAAAGTTCAAGAGATCCTCAGAGGAATTGGTTGAAACCAGAGTTGTGTGCCTCCTAACTTGAGAGTTGTGAGAGCTCCTCAGATGATTCTGAGACTTTGAGAATGAACTTGAAGCTTTGAGAAAGCCTATGAGATGTCTTGAAAGCCATCATGAAGCCCAGAAAGGTCATTATGCAAGAATTCAGGAGATTCAACCATGAATGGTAGAATTAGGGTTTTGACTGGGTCAATCCTAGATCAGCTGAAGATTTGGAGAAGGTTGAGACCTAACCCAAGGGCCATGAGATCATGGAATGATGTATGGAGATGTTATAAAGAGGATTCCTAGACCAACTCATCATGAATGAGGAGTTTGAGAAGTTTTGAGTTAGGGTTTCCAAGGATTGTCAGTGAAAAAACCCTAGTTTGATCCTTATCTTCCAGGCAGTTTTAGCTCAAGATGTGATTGATATCTCATCTTCCCCATAACATGAATGTTGTAGAGCTTGTTCTTAGCTTTAATTTGAGTGGTGGAAGTCCTTGATAGGAGTTGCAGAGCTCAAGTTATGGTTTTGACAAATTACAGGTCATCTGAGGTATGTGAATCTGGGTCCTTGAAAGTC